CCATTGTTTGGACTTGGGGGTTTACTCTGCTTTGCTTTTTGAGATAGTGTCTTGAAATATAGCTGTGGCTACCCTGGAACTCACTGTGTACCCTCAGCTGGCCTTAAACTCTCAGAAATTCTCCTGCCTCAGCTTCCTGAGGCAAGTACCACCATGCCTGGTTCCCAACATTTTGCTGTGTACCCATGCCTAGTTCTGGGATTAGGTTTTAAATATTCTTAGATATTGTTATATATATATAATTTAATGGCCCCAAACAATCATAATTTCACCACCAGAATGTTGGAAATAGCAGTTTGTCTTTTTTTTAGAAATGTTGCTGAGGGTGGTAGCATAGGCTTGTAATCGAGCACTTGAGAGCTAAGGCAGGAGTTTCCTAAGGTCAAAGCCAGCCTTGGCCACACAGAAAGACATTGTCTCAAAACAAAACATAAAACCTGATGACTACCTATAAATGATTATCTCAGTTTAAATAAAATGAGTTATTTTTAGAGAAATTGACAAGGTCCTGAAGTTCTCTAGGCTTCAGATTCTCTGGAATCTACCATGAACAGTGGGATTCTTATATCCCATATTATCAATTAATATCCTTAGAAAAGGTAACTCAGCTATTTATTATTCTCATTTACATCTATATTGATGCTCATCTGCATTTAATATAAATATTAGCTATTTAAATATAAATGTACTGGATTCCAATTGGTGGTCATAGATTTTTCTTAGGAGCCCATTAAAACAAAAACCTAGTTAAAGATGTCTTTAATGGAAGCTGTAAATTAATACAATAACTTGCATGAGAACTGTATGTTTTATTGACTAATCAAATTGATTTGCTAGGTTATTAAAAATAACAAAACTTTCCCTAAAGAAACTCAAACCTCTCAAGCAAACATAATTAAATATTGTTAAAGTGAGTTAATCTGATGTGTGGGGACCTAAGTTATCACATCCAAAGTGATAGCCTGGGATACATATGGAAAGGGCTTCCTAAGTGACAAATGAAGTGGCAGAATCAGCCTAGATTAAATTCTTTCATCTAACTTACAAAATTTTAGTGCTGTAAAAACATGAGCTTTTTGGAACTAAGAGTTGAGCATTACAGTTTGATGTGAAATATCCTTCACAGGCTCATGGTTTGAATGATTAATCTATGGCTGGTATGGTATTGGCGGACGTGGTATACACTGGATATTAAGACCTTCCTGGAGGAAGTAGGTTGCCAAAGGTCCAAAGGTAAGTTTTGGAGATTATGCCTGGTCCCCAGTATTGTATGTCTCTCTCATTCTCTATCTCTCTCCTTCCTGCCCACAAGGTAAAGAATTTCCTCACTGCATACCGCTACCACTATGGAATCATGATGTTCTTTCTGCCAAGAGCATGAACCAAGCAAATATGAAATGAACCCTCTAAACTCTGAGACTGTGAGCCAGAACAAATTTTTCTTCCTTTAAGTTGTTTACGGCAAGTGTTTTGTACCAGTGATGAAAAGGCTCACCAACACATATGAAGAACATCTTTAAGTGTGAAGGCTTTGGTGCAATACTTGCATACACTATGATTTTAATAAAGATATATTAAGTAAAAGCATTTTATAAAAATCCACATTCAGAAATATTAAAGGGACGGTCAGAGAGTTACTCACTGTGCATACATCTATTTACTAGGCAATTATCCAACATAGAACGTCTGTGGTAGATGCTGAGGTTGGTTAAATAATTGTAACTGTTGGATGCCTGTTATACACAGACAGAAATTGATGAACGTGGCCAGTGATTCATTTAATTCTAAAAACTTCATGGTTCTTTTACTTAAATGAGAGCAACTTAGTTACAAAGACACAAAGAATATATATGCCCAAGTTCCCACCTCAAAGAACCCACCAGAGGAGTGTGCACTGGGGAGGTGTGCACTGGGAAGGTGTGCACACTGGGGAGGTGTGCTGGGATGGTATGCACTGGGGAGGTGTGCACACTGGGGAGGTGTCCACTGGGGAGGTATGCACACTGGGGAGGTGTGCACACTGGGGAGGTGTGCACTGGGGAGGTGTGCACTGGGGAGGTGTGCACAGTGGGGAGGTGTGCACCGGGGAGGTGTGTGCACTGGGAAGGTGTGCACTGGGGAGGTGTGCACTGGGGAGGTGTGCACTGGGGAGGTGTGCACACTGGGGAGGTGTGCACAGTGGGGAGGTGTGCACAGTGGGGAGGTGTGCACTGGGGAGGTGTGCACTGGGGAGGTGTGTACTGGGGGGGTGTGCACTGGGGGGTGTGCAAAGTGGGAGGTGTGCACTGGGGAGATGTGCACAGTGGGAGGTGTGCACTGGGGAGGTGTGCACTGGGGAGGTGTGCACTGGGGAGGTATGCACACTGGGGAGGTGTGCACTGGGGAAGTGTGCACTGGGGAGGTGTGCACAGTGGGGAGGTGTGCACTGGGGAGGTGTGCACTGGGGAGGTGTGTGTAGTGAACTGTGATGCTGTGGCACTCTCTCAGCACTGTGCCTGCCCGGCCTCCCGGGAAGGCATATGTCTGGTTGGTCGGCCAGCACGGGACCTTTGTACACCTGAACTCACAATTCTGTAAAAACTTCCTCTGGGAACACTCTTGACTGTCTGCCTGGTGTGGTCGCAGCACTCTGATAGTTCATCACCACAGTTGTTTACAGGATTGTCCAGACCCAGGAGGAGGTCAGGTTTTAAAAAGAAAAGCCAGTGGTGACAGCAGCAGCACCCTCATCAGCCCCATCAGACAACAGCAGCTTACAGGGCAGGAGGAGCAGCTGAGGCATGACTAAGTGCATGTGCACACACGTGGGAAAAGACAGAACATAAGCAAGAGAAATACACCAGGCTAGAAACAGAAATTACACTTGAAAGACAATTCCTCCTGTCACTGAATGAAAGACGGCTATTATGTCTCAGAGGAAAGACAGAGGAAATCAAAACCTCTCCCGTTTGGCACTGAGAACATATTAAGAACAATTTTACTCATAGTCCACACTGTCTTTGAAATGCTGACACACGGCAGTATCAGAAATGACATCTGATACCAACATCTCACCAACAAGTGCACACCTGAATGGAGAGGTGCAGAGTCCCCAATCGGGAAGAACTGAGAAAGGAGAAGGCCTACACATTTTTATTGAAATTAAATTTCAGTGTATGTGTCAACCAATGGTATATTTATGAACCAAGTAGATGTACAAAGTTTCAATTTTTCACTCAGGAAAAAAATTATGTTTCAGGGACATTTTCATTTATCTGATTGAATATTTCTTTTATTGTATAGAATATGTCTGTTGAGAAACACTTGGAACAGATTTGCAGTTCCGGATATATGTTGGCTTATTGAGTATGATATAAATTTTAATTCATGTAGAATATCCTCAAATAACCATGTCAAACAGAGGAAATTATGTATCTGTGGGTTACTGACACATGGTGAGTATTCACTCACAGTTTTAGATAAGAGCACACCAGGAACAAGAGGCTACTCTGATGTGTCTAATTCAAAGACAAATGCGATGGTGTAGACCGCTCGCCCTTCAGTTCTGAGACTAAGGTAAGATTGCAAGTTCAAAGTCAGCATGGGCAGGTCTCATGTTCTAGACAGTAGCCTGGGCTGCAAAACCAGATTTTACAAAATGTCACTAAAGTTATCTTGTTGATAAATAATACTTATGTCCAAATAATTATTACTCATTGTAAAATCATATTCATATGTTTCTTGCTTAGGCATGCATGTATAAATATATAAATTACATCCATCAACAAATATAAATAGCCATATAAAAATTTATTCATGCTGGGTGGTGTTGGCACACGCCTTTAATCCCAGCACTCAGGAGCCAGAGCCAGGTGGATCTCTGTGAGTTCGAGGCCAGCCTGGTCTACAGAGCAAGATCCAGGACAGGCACCAAAACTACACAGAGAAACCCTGTCTCCAAAAAACAAAACAAAACAGAAATTTATCTCCCCACCATCACTATTCCATTGTAACAACTAAAATGCAAGTATAGTTAAAACAATACTTAAGATAACTCCAATTCAGGTACAACAATGCTCATGTCCCCATTTGTTGAGAAAAGAGAGACATTTTAGAGCAATTTTCCTTTAAAAAGCATGATATTTCTCTAGTGTTCAACAACCACGGTGGTGAGGGGAATGTGGCTTCTGCTCTTACTCATGATGAAAGGCAGTCACAGCGCACAGATATGCTGGAAGGTGGGGACACCTGGTGAATTCACTCAGCCCCACAACTAATTTCTTTCAGTGAAAGTCCTCGTGGGCTCTTCTGAGTCACTCACCACAGAAACTTGGCCGTATTTGGGGCATCCCCGTCATCTGGAAGTGTAACTTGGTTACTCAAATGCATAGAAAGTTTTCCACTCTGGTAAGCCACTTCTGGGAAAGCAGCAAATATGAATACTTGGTACTCCAGTTTTCAAGGTCCCAGAGACGCCTTTGTCTTAAGGGAGCATGGATGCTCCTACACAGACTCTGAACCTCTTTAACATTACACAACCAAAGGATCTAAGCATCTTTCATATTTATTTCTTTATATATAAATGTTATAAAATTTATATATAAATGTTATAAAAATTTTAAAGACCAATTCTCTCTTTGTATGTGGCACACATGTATATGTTCACATACATGTACCATATGTCATACGTGAGGCGGTCAGAGAAGAACTTGCAAGAGTCAGCTCTCTCCTTCTATCATGTGGGCCTTGGGGATGAAACTCAGGTTATCATGCTGGCTTCAGGCACTCGCTACAGCTTCTTGCCAGCCCTATCTTTTGTATTTTAAAGTGTTCACATTAAACTCATTTCATGATCAATCTCTTTATTAATTCTGTCTCTAATCATAGCATGTAGTTCACATGTGCTACTCTTGAATTCTTTTCAAGCAAGGAGCTGTGGCACCACAGCCTTCTGCGTCTATATCTATGACATCACAAAGGCAGAGGTGAGTCACATTTGTTGTGTCCACTATGTCCTAAGTTTGTCTGTGCTACTGACTTACAAATCTGCAAGAAATGTGCAAGGTTTATAGTATTGGCAAACATCCTTCCGCCTGTATGGAGCATCCTTGGTCTCAAAAAGTCTTACAGAGAAGCAAATTTGGCTGTTCATCCTGTCTGACACCAAAGTTCTCATTTAGCCAAGCTATATATATACCCGGTACTTCTCATCTTTCCGCGTAAGTCAATCCTTTCAACTCAACAACCTGCTGCTCTTCTGTGATGGCTGCTGCTTGGCTTTCTGAGAAGTTGTCATTTTTACTAAGTTGCTCCCTCTATCTCTCATTTTTGATTCAAAAGATTATAAACATCTTGAAGACAACGGCACTATTTTAATGAATTAAATATTAGTTACACAACCAAGATGCCTTGTTGGGGGTAATCTCCAGTCACCTTGCATTTTCCAAGCTGATGATGCTCTAAATCAAACTAATTAGGAACAGTGCACATGTTGCTTCTTTCTTCTAGGAAAGAATAAATCACAGCTGGGTTCTTCTGGACCTTTAGATGATGGAGGGTACGTGGCTCCCTGTGTTAGGACTTCTTACTCATCTGAATGCTTTGAGTGAAAAATGAATTTGCTGTATGAAGCTGAACTGTATGTTCTCTGTGAGAGTTATCCTCATACACAGTCCTCCTCTTTCAAAATCACCATGCATGTCAGAAAGATGTCTGAAATTCTTTTCCCATGAATATTCAGGTCCTCTCCCAACCAGATTATTTTAGGCTTAATTATTTTTTATTCTCAATCCACAGCTTCAAGTGAGGTTAGATTTTAAAAGTTTAAGTTGGGGGCTGGGGTGTCCCCAGTAGTCAAGCACTTGACTTCCTACCTGAGTTCAGATTTCCAGAAACCATGTTTTTTAAATAATAATAATAATAATGCAGTCATGCAGCATAAGCCTGTCTCTCTGGACCTAGGAAGGCAGAGCCAGAGGAATCCCTGAGGACAACTTTCTAGCTAACTACTCTCACCAACTCAGCGAGCTTCAGGGTCAGGGGAAGGCCCTGTCTCAAACAGTAAGGTGGACAGTGACCAAGGAAGGCATCTGATGTTACTCTGGCCTCCACACATGTGTGAATGTGGACCTGCACATACATATGCACACACATGAACACACACACACACACACACACACACACATATGTGTGTGTGTGTGCGTATGTATATACATATATACATATACACACATATATATATATGCCCCCTCATACACATTAAATTTAGCATTAGAAACAAAATGTACAACTGATCAGATTAAATAATACAAGGCTGTTTATAGGACAGCACTTTTAAGATGTGTAGAAAATAAGTATTTTTGTACTAGAAGGAAGGAAGAAATTTGGAGCAGATATAGGAATCTGAAGTTCAGGGAAACATTCTCAGACTCTGACAGCTAGGACCAGAGCAAGAATCTGAGGATGGAGAAGTGGCCTGCTCGGAGCAGCCGACACGGGTTCAAGCCGAAGAGCAGAGAAGCTCACACAGGTTATTCAACAGAACACTGATAAAACAGAGCAGCAGAGTGAAGACAAAAATGCGAACACCACATCCCGGCAAACAATAATGAGGACACAGGCCAGACAATTAAAATAACATTTGGGCGGTTCTTGGCTTGGAAATAGAGGAATAATTCCAAGATTTTTCTAGCCCTCATAATCAAAACTACAATCTTGGAGGCTATTAAAAAAATAACTTCACCAGTAGCTCAGACTAAGGTCTGGGCAGCTTGGAATTGGTGCTAAAAGCACAAAACTGTCCAAACCCACTGTTAGCAAGACCAAGTGCTGCAGCAGGGGGACAGAGAGACCAGGCAGAAAGGCCTCGGGGCACAGCCGTCTCTGGCACTGGCTTTGCGTGTGGTAGCCTCTCTGTACTTGTGTGTTAATCTGTATAACATGTCCCATTATAAACACCTTTCCCATTGGCTGGGATGACCAGAGGTGATGGATCCAAAATGCATGTAGAAAAGCCATGGTATATTAGGGAGTTAATAACTGGTAATGATGGATACTGTATTTTCCCACACTGAGGCCTCTATATAATAGTGTTAAATACGTTTGTCACCACCCATTCTCTCAACCCTGAAGTACTCATCTCCTTTTTGCTGTCTACCAAAAGCAAGCAGGCATTCCTGGCAGCTGTCATTCCGACCTCTTAAGTAATGAACCCTTTCACATCCACAGGCATGTACGTACACACAGGATGCCTCCCAGTGAGACGTGCAGTTTTATGATCATGGTTTCTTGCTGCTGCTGCTGCTGCTGCTGCTGCTGCTGCTGCTGCTGCTGCTGCTTTAAAGAGTTTTGAGTAGCCCAGGCTGACCTCTGCCTTGTTAATAGTTGAAACCGGACTTGAACGCCTGCTCCTTCTGCCTCCACCTCCCATATTCTGGGATTACAGGCAAGCACCACCATGCCCTGCTATAATTATGTTTTGAAATACAGTGTTTTAATAGGCTAACTGGCAACTCATATAACTTTCAACAGAGAGTATTAAATTCAAACCCTCCACCCCTGTGCAGACTCGGAAGTAGCATGGTAACCACTGACAGATGCGAGCTATTTCTCCAACAGCTCAAGTCAGTGACTTAGTGCCAGTGGATGTGTTTGGGAAACCACTATTCCCAGCACCAGCCTACTCCAGTCTTAGCAGTTACGATAGAAAAGCCTTTCCCTTTACCAGTGGTTCTCAAATGACCCTTTCACAGGGGTCCTGTATCAGATACTTACATTGCAATTCATAACAGTAGCAAAATAACAGTTAAGTAGTAGCAATAAAAATAGTTTGATGGTTGGGGGTCACCATCACACAAGGAACTGTATTAAAGGGTTGCAGCATTAGGAAAGTTGAGAAGCATTTGAGACTGAACTCACACCTGCTTCCTATCATGACCAGAGAGGGAGAAATTCTAGTCTACTGAAGTGCACAGGTCTCTCGCCTCCAAGAGCCACCTTGGAGTCCCTCTTCTCTCCGGGATATTCCTCAAGTCATTTCAGCATTCTCCCTGCTCGTCTCTGTAATTGCTTTAAAGTGCAACGTAAAGCTACTTAACAATAAAGTATCTCAAATAAAGTACTGGTCCATACAGGTGTGGTGGCTTTTTGGCTGGACACTCCACATTTCATGCTATGTTTGGGGACAACCCCAACAAGGTTAGTAATTCGACAATATTGGCTCATTCTGACTCTTCTAAAACCAGAGACCTTTTCCTTATAAACATGTGTTTGCTATTTTGTTTTCTAGGTAGACACTTTCTTCTGACCCTCACAGCAGTGACCTTTCAGCCCTCATGAAAAGAAGAATTTGAACTCTGATGCTGGCAGTCATACAAAGATAATTTATTCCAACCTGAAAAGCTCTTCAAATGTTCCCATCTCCCATCAAGGAGCTCACCCAGAAGGTGGGGTGTGTATCACAGTCAGAGACACAGCTCCCTGTCAAGATCCTGGAAATTTCCGTTTCTGTTCCACCTCATTCCCATCACCAGCTTTCTTTGACTTTAATGTCAGAGCTTTCAATATCACTGATGACATTCATGCTAATATATATATATAAAAAAAACAACAACAACATGTCAAATATATCCATCTCATCATCCGGAAATGTTTAAACCAGTGAGAGGGGTGTGTGATTTGGAGATCTAGGGCGTGAAAGCAGAAGTGGTGACCACCTGAGGAACAAGAGGAACCAGGCGGAGGGAGGCAGGGGACACAGGAGGGTGGTGACTCAAGACATGCAAATGCCATAATGAAAGCCATTGTTTGTGTGCTGAATGGAGAACGAACTCAAAGCATGTGTTAGTAAGAAAAGCAGAAGGAAGAGGGGTGGAAGGTTGCCACGGTGAGCAAAGCGGCTTGCAGTCAAGTATGGTGGCTGAGTTTGATCCCCAGGACCCCTCGTGGTGGGAGGAGAGAATTGACTCCTGCAGGCTGTCCTCTGACCTTCCCACACACCCCAACACCATGGGAAGGAAGGAAGGAAGGAAGGAAGACAGGTAATAAAACATATTCTAGGCTGTGTTGGCATTTAAAATGAAAACCAAACATTGCTGTCCGTAAGTCACCCAGATAAAAGTATTAAATAAACTTTTTTCATTAGATCAGAAATCCATTTTAAAAAATTAACCATCTTAGCAACCAATGTCCTACCAGTAAGGAAAGTCCATTAATTGCCCCTTTAAAATATTGTAGATTTCCAAATCATGTAGAGAGAAAGCCAAAGGAAGTTCATGTCTGCATTCACCTACAAACAAAATGTGGAAAGCTATTGGTTGCCCCCATAAAGTTCATGCCACTATTGAATCCATGGGATATCTTGAGATGCCAGCAGTCACTGCGGTTCACAGTTGGGCGAGACTGTGAGGGCTGCCTTCCACCAGCAACGTGCATATCTCTTTCCAGTACTCTGAAACAAGCCAGGGAGGAGGAAGCTTCCTGGTCAGTACCAACTCGAGTTTTTCATCTACTGGGACCGAGGTCTATGGTGTCTTCAGCAATAGGGTCTCATATCAACGCCTATTGGGTAACCAAGAATAATATCAGTAGCCTATATTTTGGGGGGACACCTTTGACCAACAACTTGAGGGAAGCATCCCATACCCATAATTCAGTGGATAACCCCACACTCAGAAGTACAAATTGGAGTCAATGGATTACCAATTTTTTTTTAAAGGAAACCTAGTTGGGAGAAGTAAGAATGTGGAGGTGGATCTGAGAGGGGATAAAGGGAGAAGATGGGGGTGAATATGACCAAAACACACTGTATAAAGCTCTCAAGTAATTAATAAAAAATGTTTAAATGTATAAAATATTTCTTTATACATTTTAACTCTTCAAAACCTAATGGACATTCTCTAAATGTCATCAATTGTTTATTTTTATTAAAGAACAGTAAGTAAATATTATAAGGTGGCTAGAGATGAGAGAGATTGTCTCAAGGTAAAATAGTCTTCAAAAATTCATGAAAGAAGTGCAAGATACCAGATAGCAAGTAGATAAATATTTGCCTAATTTTTCTTTGAATATTCCCAATCACACATTTCTTCATTAAAAAAAAGTATGCATGTTAAAATCCTCTTTAATACTCCACTTTGTAAAAGGCTCATTCTAGAGTGACCAAAATCACCTTTGGCATTCATTCCTGCAGCTACATGTCCACGGGAAGGGTGTTCCATGCCTGACTCTGGATCCCATTCAAACAAGTTATCATGGACTTCTCATGTCTGCCATTCTAGAGAAGCAGATGCCAGAAGATGAGTAACTGCGTGCTCTACCAGGCGCCTGGTAGCCAGCATCCCTTCTTGCTGCCAAGGAAGTAAAAGCAGTCTGAGAGTCAGGCTGACATTGGGAGTCAGTACATTCTCTGCCCAGGAAACAGGAGATAAGGGCTGGGCTCCCAGGCTTCTCTCCTAGCAGGATGAGGGGTCCTTTTATCTCCCAATTAAAACACAGTAGAGAGAAGCAAAAGAAGTTGCATTTCCCTGGAGTGAAGCTAAAATGTTTAGGTTTTTTTTTTTTTATTTGCTGAATTGTCAAAAAATGTAGAATTTGAAAAGAGAAAAATCTGTGCAGACAATGGGATAATTCAACATCAGTCTAGGCAAGTGGGGTTTAAGCTGTCTGCTCTTATTTAGAAGTTTGTGTTTGTTTTGCTTTAAGTCCTCCCTGAGGCTGGAGAGATGGCTCCGTGGTTAAGAGCACTGACTGCTCTTCCAGAGAACCTATAGTTCGATTCCAAGCACCCACATGGCAGCTCACAACCATCTACAACTCAAAATCGAGGGGCTCTGATGCCATCTGCTGGACTCCATGGCACAACTCACATAGGCATAAAATATATATAATCTAAACATACAATATACTCACATAGGCATACTATATATATATATATATATATATATATATATATATGTATGTATAAATCTTAAAAAAATTAAATTAGTCTGCTGCACGGCAGCATCTGCCATCTAAAGTCATTTACAGATTGACCTGGCTGGAGAGAGGCTCAGTGGTTAAGAACACTGGCCACTCTTCCAGAGGACCTGTATTCAATGCCCAGCACCCACGTGGTGGCTCACAACCATCTGCAATTCCAGTTCCAGGCTACCAAATGCTACCTTCTGGCCTCTACAGGGATCAGACACACATGTGGTGCACAGACAAACAAAGAGGCAAAATACTCATAGCTAGAAAACATAAAGTGTTTAAAAGTCTTCCATCCTTTAGTCTATAGGACACATTCTATTGTTTATTTGTTACAACAAATTGTCGAGTCCCCAGAGATAGGTGCATTGGACCAGTGTGTGACCAAAGAAATCTATAGTGTCCCTAAATCTCCTGCTACACATGATGATGAACTTTTGAATTCAAGTCTGAAACAATTCACTATCTAACCACAAGTTAAAACTGTTAATATTTTAAAGCCATCCTGCAACTGAACCACTAATCTCACCTAGGTCCCTATTAAGTCCATGCTCAGTAAATAATCAGACCCAGACTGCTCCAAACACGTTCCAAAGTATGGAGGTGGTATTAGGTCACTGACATTAAGTAGCATTATCATAATATATAAAATTCACAAAGTCAAGCCCCCGAATTAACTTTCATCTATTAGGGACTTTTGAAGGGCTCTTTATTTTATAAAATATTCTAGAAGAAACTTAAAGGCAGGAAAGGGGGAGATTGGAGCAAACCATGTTACTCTGGTTAATGCACCATTTGTCGTCTGGGCAAGTTACTAAAGGTCATTCATTCTTTCTGGCAAGTGTTGAAAACAGTTTGCATCGAGGATCTAACTTAAAGGAACAATGTGACAGCCCTCCGGCCTCCCATGACCTTTGGATGGCCACCCAGATGTCCACATCTCTTAAGGGAGACAGCTGTGATGTCTACACTCAGATTCTCAGCAATTCTCAGCAACTTCTCCTATGTGCCTCTGGTAGGGAGTTGGAATCTTCTCTTCCTGGGGCCCACAGTGGCTACATTCAACTCTCAGAGTCCAGTCTCAGGCTGTGTAGAAGACTGAAGGACAGGCTCACATAGCTAACTCTGTCCCGTGAAAGGGCGCTTTCCAGAGGTGGGGAGGTGAGAAAGTCTGTTGGGCTGGGGTGGGTCTGTATCCACTCCTCTGGGTTGTAGAGCGATTTCCTTTGAAGAAAGGGGGATGGAGACTTGAGAGGGAAAGCAAAGCAACATCACAGAACTAGGAGCCCTGAAGCTTATGAGGGCCCAGCACCAGGGCTGTAGAAACTGTCCAGGGAGCAGACGCTCACCAGCCAAGCTGCCTAGGGAAGGTCCTCTGGTTCTCCAGGCCATACAGAGTGGGAGGGAGGTAGCTTTCCAGTGTCTTAACCATGTGGGGTGGCTTTCTTAGTAAGGCAGGTGCTTTTGAGTCATCCCTGCTCCCTGTAAGACATCTACCACACATGCCTGTGTTAATAATTCCAGTAACAACTCATTAGTTGAAGGTTGGACTTGGTGCCATTATTACTTTGGTCTGTTGTGAGTTCCCTGTCTGGGTGAGTGGATGTGTGTGTGTGTGTGTGTGTGTGTATACTCTCTCCCCAGGAGTCTCACCACAGTACTGGGCCAGGGTGGGCCTGTGGGAGGCCTGTTCAGTAATGGTTGGAGACCTAGTTGATGAAGAGTGAGCATTAAAGGAAAGAAGAACAGAGAAAAAGAGATCCCACATGTAATTAAAGTTCCTGGGTATTTCACTTGACAGAAAACCTTCCTATTTCCAACTAGCTGGGAACGTGTAGGAATTCCTACCACCAGATAATTTAGTAAAAATCCACAAATGTTGATTAAGATACCTATCATCTTGGAAACACTTCCCAACTAGGATTTGTCTATTTCCAGTTGATCTGTCCAGCATATTCCCAAGGACAGAAACCAGAATACATCTTAAGAGCCAAGGACTCTGTGACAGTGAATCAAGATTTACCTTTCATTTTCTCTTCCATACCAGCTGGATTGATTCTTCCTTCAGACTTTGCCAACTGCACATTGAGGTTTCTGCCTAAGAAAAAGTTCACTCACAAATGCATCTAAAACCTTTTCTCATTTTTAAAGTGGTATTCAAAGACACCTAGTTTTATGTTCCCCAAGCACTGCCCACATAGACATAAGGCAGATGTAATGCCAGGAAACTTCTTTTGAGCTCACAGGGCATTTCACACACAGAATGCTGCCTTGTGGTGTTGGGGGACACTGGGGTGACACAGAGCATGGACTATGACTATACATGAGGGGCAATTTCTTCATCTGTGATTTCTTCTTTACTTGGTTTGCTCTGTCAACGAAGATGTATAGCAAGGAATGTACTCTTGTCACCCAAGTGGGACGTGGATTTTTATAGAAACTTGGCATGGAGTTCTTAAAGAGAACAAGTGATACTTGGAATTTTGCTTTGTAATTTCCCAAAATTGTTCACAAGATGGACACTGTGCATTCAAAAGAAGGGGATAAATCAGTTCTGTAGGACTTTTAACATCATTTTCCTTCTATTTACTTTGAAGTAAGTTATTCTGTTGCTTTTTTTCACAGAGAATCTTTTGAAACAGGTATGAAGCCAGTGTGCCCAAATGTGGCTAAAACCCAAACAGGCATTTTTTATTTTCCACTTATAGAGAATTCAAGAAAAAATAAAAGGTTGCAAGATCTGCTCATAGTGTCGCTTGGAATATACTCATGGAAATTCAGGCTGTTTGTTACACACTTCATATTTTTTAAGTGGTGTTATGTGGGCGGGTTTGGAGACCCATGGAGAAGCCCAGGATCTATATAAATATCCAAATGGGACTATATAAATATCCAAATGGGAATAAGGGAACTCTCTCATTTCCTCTTTACCGCCTAGTGCTTACTTCTCAGGCTTTACTAGTAACATGGCAGTTCATGGTGCTTTGTGCCTATTTTAACTTAAACAGTAGGACCACATTTTTAAAACACAGGACTAAAATAATATTATTCTCTCAAAGAGAACTTTTAGAAGTAACAAGATACTAAAAGAGCTGCCACAATTAAAGTATTAAGAGGTAAGAAAGGCTGGATTTCAAGCTTTTCATCCTAAGGTCAATCATAAAACACCAACCAATCAACCAAACTCCAACATAACCTTTCCCCTTCCAAGCCCCACCCTGGGTGGGGACCACTCCCACTGGCTTGCATGAAGGCACTGAATAATGTGGAAGTCACAGGTGATTCTTTTGGTGGGTTTTGTGGCTGATGGTTGTGGCAGAAAAGATGTATCACAACACTGAGTTAACTCAAATCCTCATAAGGGAATTTCCGCAGTGCCCAAAACACTCTTTCTGAGCAGGGCTGAGACGCACTCCCTCAGAAGCCTCTGCCCTTGAGGCTGTACCTCTTTTATTACCATCGGCACATCAGTCCTCAGGCTCCCACATAGTCACAAAGCACTGTGCTGTGAAGTCACAAGTCTGCATGCTTGGTTAGGAACAAAACCCCATGTAAAACAAAATAGTAAATTACAAGCTTTGGGAACAGAACTCTTGATGCTCAGAAGTGTGAGTCTTATCCTTTAACAGCTGAGATATCTCTCCAACCCAAATTACAGGGTTTGATTAGAGTCAAACTTTTCCAAATTAACATGGACAGAAATCCTTAAGTATTCCACTGACTGGGTGTTTAACTGAAGCTTGAACACTTTCTCATGACCAAGTATCTGACAAGAATCAACTGACAAAAGGGAGGTTTTCTTGGCTCACAATTCAGAGAGATCAAGTCTCTCCTGGGAGAGACAGAATGGTAATGGAAGCCTGAGCTGCATGGTCTAACTACAGCCCAGTCAAGACTAAGTAAGCAAATAAAACCAAGTAACACATCTTTCTCCTGATGCAAAAATAAAGCTTTCCCATTTACTACTGGGGAGATTTGCTATTTCATCACATACCTAGCACATTGGGGCATTGTTGTTGTTTTGAGGTAAACTCGAACCCACAAGTCAACACATGTTCCAAATGCCCTCACCAAATTCAGAACCCAAGCTCCTCACTCCATTTAATTGAGCTAATAAAGTATAAACAGCTTTGGTTGAGGAGACTGCTGCCAGCAGGTAGACATGTCACTCCAAGGTTTTGTCTTCATGAAATGCTTAACCTTGCTACTTTTACTCAAAGAGAAACAAGAAGGCAGCTGGCTCTGCCATTGGCCTTCCTTGCCATGAACCCATATATTCCAGACTGGGTTAAAAGGGCTCCATAGCTCAGCCCAAGCATCACGAGATCTGTACAGCTACCTCAAAGTCAGGGTGCCCTAGTTTTCCTCAATCCCCAAGACTGAAAAGCCTTCCCTCTTTGTGAAGCACAGAAAACAACTATTTCTCCACCTAAATTAATGCAAATACCATACTTCTCTGACTTGAGAAATATAGTAAAACTAGGTCACTGTGAAAAGTGAAAGGTGAGTCCTAGGGCATGAAACACAAGGCCAATAATGATCCCAAAATGACGAGACATAATCACTTCATAAGCTTGGATAAAGTTACTCTGAAAAGTTAATGGCTCAATCTTGTCAAGTATGAATAGAAACAGGCACTCATGATAATGAACACTTAAGGCTAGCTCATTGTGGGTGAGTGAGGCTAAACGCTTTCAAGGTACCCAAGTTGCTTCTGTCTACAAGTGATGTGTATACATGTCGTTCTCGATACTTGTGATGAAAATTGGCCTTTTCTGAAAGAATGGGCTGCCAGATCACTTAGATTCTGTACTATGTACAAAGTCTCCTGTGCTTAGGCTTAAGATGTAGAGTTTTATGTAAGCATTAAAACGTTCTAAGAAATAAATGGAAAAAATTTATATCTCTTCAGTAAACATTTTAATAATATTTTATTTATTCTTTGAGTATTTCATGCAAGTAGATAATGTATCTTGATTATAGTTGCCCCCCTTACTTACCTCCCTCCAACATATCTTCCTCCCAACTTCATCTCTTTTTGTCTTATACCCCCTCAGTCAAATGAATGTTGCCTGCATGTGTACGGGTGTAGAGTCATCATCTCCCAGGGCATGAGAAAACTACCAGTGGCCACCATCCCCCAAAGAAAAGTGAGTCACTATCACCTGCCAATGACTCCTTAACTGAGGAGGGACCTCGGGGGGATACCCCCTGCCTTGAATAATAGAATTTAAATCAGCTTGATCTTGCATCGGTCTTGAGCAGCTAACCAGAATTGTCATCACTACATGTGTGCAACAGCCATAAAATTTTCAGGTAAGTGGGTGGAACTGAAAAGATTATACTGAGTAAGGCCACTCAGGCTCATTAAACATTTTAATTGCTCTGAGCACATCTGATAATGTATCATGGCCATTTTTAACATCAGATCCCTTTCATCCTTTGAAACTGGTTTACTAGATGGGCTTAGATTTTGATGAGGCCAAGAAGGGATATACTTTCTGCACTGTAGGGGCTTATTTGTGGGTGAGGCAGTGAATCTCTGATATTTCTCTTCCAATGAGCAAACTTGAAGTCTCTGGTTAAAAGTCAATGTCCGAAGTCTTCAACATGGTCAAAGCCAACAAGGAAGGTCTGAAAAACTATCAGAGTCAAGAAGAGCCTAAGAAATATGATATTAAATGAAACATAAGATCCTGGAGCAGAAAGAGATGGATGTGAAAGGGAAACCTAAGGAAGAGAGCCCAGCACGGAGTTCAATTGATATGAACAAAGTAGCACTGGTTGTTAGTCATGGTGAAGTTAACATGACACACCTCTGTAAGATGTCAGTTACAGGGGAAGCCAGGTATGCAATATAGGAAACCACTTCAAGATTACTTTGTGAGATAAAAAGCTTGCTTTACAAGGTCACTGTCAGTAATCATGCAACACCATTAAAAAGTAAAATTCTTGTATTTATTAGTAACTTCCTCTGCTGTGATATGAAAGAATGGAAAAGGACGTGACTTCAGAAATGATGGTATGTAACTTGTCAGGCAAGAGGTACCGAGTGGAGCAGTGACTACTATGGGGTAACCATAGTAGTTTCTATGGGGGTAACCAACTCATTTCTGATTGGATCGGAGACCTGATTCAGAGAAGGGAGTCCATACCTAGTAATGTGGATCTGGTCAAAAGCCCATGACTGGGGAGGTCATAGACACAAAGGTAAGCCTACTACTTTTGTTTTGCCAAATGAACATATTATCCCACCCTGCCTACTAATTATTTATGCTTGTATCTATGGAGTGCTATCCTCACCCCAGATCAGAGGAACTTGTCTTTACACAGAACCTCAGTTAATGCAGAGACTCGAGGTGCTGACAAGAGGTGACCGCTGGGTGTCCAGTCTTAAACAAGCAGAGAGAATTTAGGAGCTGGAGGATGAAAGAGAGGACTGTGAAATGCCGTCTTGTGGCATCATATGGCCAGGATACTCATGAATTCACAACAGCTGCAGTTGTCTTGATAGGGCACAAGTCCAAACAAGTAAACATCCAGTCATAGATAGGGTGCGGTTCGTGGTGTCAATCCTGTCTAGGACTACTGAGGGAGAGAAGGCATTGTCTTTTATAGTTTCCGGTGGGTCACTCCTGAGTGGACACTTCATGTTCATGCCCAGTAGAGCATCCCTGCTTAAACCCAGTGGTCACAAAGCAAAGCACACGAAACAAAAGGACAAGGAAGTAGGATAGCGATTTCATGGGAGAAATGGGGAATTGATAAAAATGAAGATAAGAGAGGGTAAAGGATGAGTGTGACCAGAGTGTGTTATGTACATATAGGAAACTGTCAGAGAATACATTTACTTTTTAGAAAGAAAAAGTGGTATCTACTGATACTCCCTCCCCATGATGAAGATAACTTCAGGCTTCTCAGCCTTAACATAGAAAAAAACAGCCTAGTGGAACAGGCCTACTGTCCCAGCTATTTAGGATGCTGAGAAAGAACCAAAACAAATTCAATGTGTGAGCTACGGATTGAGTTCAAGACCAGCCTTTGCAATAAGGGAGACGTGGTCTCAAAGTAAAAAGCAAGAAGACAGCTCACGGTGTAACTCAGCGAAGAAGCGCTTGTCTAGTGTGCACATAGCCCGGGGTTCCACCTCCAGTGTTGTGAAAATGACAAGAAAGGAAAAGAACTCCATGGCATAAATCACAATGGAGCTTAGAACATGTAAGAGACTAGGTAGGGAGAAACCTCCCAGCTCCTCCCTCCTACCACAACAGAAGCACAAGGCTAGGACAACTGCAAAGAATAGCTAGCACCCTGGCACACACACACACACACACACACACACACACACACACACACACACATAAGAACTCTCAAAAGAAGAAGGAGGACAAGGACACACCCACACAAACCTTGTTCTATACTGCATATAAGGACAAGGCAGCCACAATCCCTTATGAGTTCACTGCCCCTAAATTGTACCTGGCAAGAC